TCCTTAATTATTTAAAAAAAAAAAAAAACCCTACCCAACCCCACTGGCCCAACCACCATCCTCCTCCACTACCCAGTCTCCCTACCCCTTCCAACGTCATCTCACCCCTTCCCCGCCATTGTTAGGCCTCCCCTCGACCCCTTTCTCAGCCTCCTACTAGCACCCCTTTTCGTTCCCTCAAGCTCTCTCTTTGGGCGGAGGTTAGTGTTTGATTGGGTTTCGAGGTAGCTGGCCGCGCCGTTTCACGGTGATAGGGATGAAGGGCGGTGATTTCACGGCAGATTCAAAGGTGATGGGTGTGAATTTGTTGGTTTCCGGGGAGTTCGTGGTGGATGTGGAGGTTCATGGGGGGGCTGAAATCGGGATCGAGGAAGGGAGCTTTTAGGTGGGATGGTCTGGTAAGGGCTGAAATCGGGATGAAGGAGACGGTTGGCGGGGTGGCGACGAAATAGGATATGGGTTTGGTTGGGCGACTGCTGGTACGGTGGGGAGATGAGGTTTTTCGAGGGGAGGGAGGGGGTTTTAGGGTGGGGGAAGGTGGTTGAGGGGAGGGGCTGGTTAGGATGGGATACCGCCAACTCTGGCCGCCGACGGTCGTGGTGGGGTTGCTTTCGGTGAGGGTGGTTTTTTTTATTTTTTTTATTTCAGTTAGTTTATTTTAGTTTTAATTTTTTTAAGAAAAAAAAAATTAAGTTTTGTTTTTTAAAATCATTATTGTAAAAAAAATGTTAAAATAAAATACTTTTTCTAACCAATCACACATGGACACATGTCAAATATAACCTGTGAAACAGGTTACAGGTTTTTTGTTCTATTTTTGGCGGATGTGCATCAAAGGTGGTGTTATTTTGGAATAATCCAAAGGTCGTTCTATTCTTGAAAGACCGTCCAAAGGTGGTGTTATTTTTGACAAATTTTCCAAAGAAAAATAGACATATAAATAAGGGACAAAGGGAGCTCAAATCATAAAGTCAATGATGATTGTAATCCTTAGTCAATTTTAACAGATTGCATATTACTTATAATAGGAATCTATGAATCTACTTTTAGAACGATTAACATCATTGAGGATGTCATGTTAAACATAAAAGTACAAGAATCAAGAACGTACGTAACTAGAAGAAAATAATAATACCATATGGTTGACATATTATATGATATAATTACATACTTAATCACATGTAAAGTATAGTTGACCTTTCTTGAATAGAATTAGTTAAGGTCAAGTAGTACACTAGTACTAGCTCGATTTGAGTAATTGAGTATGGACCACCGTCATGAAGAGTCCCTAAAATTTGGTTTGAATTTTTCGAACAAAAAAAAATGGTACTATTTGAGTAATTTATACAATATACTTCGTATTTGAGTAATCTTTGACTTTGCTTTGAGTATTATGATGTATACTAGTAACCCTACTTAATAAACAGTAATTCGTTGGTATTAGCAGAACAAAATTTGAGGCTAGTTTGACCTATGATGAATCTAGGATGTGGTATCAAGTATCAACCCCTTGCCACGTATGAGATTTTTGCAGTTTTCAATACTACTACTTCTTTTTTATATTATTTGCAATGATTAGGTCATGTTCACATTTACTGAACTGAGTTGAACTTATTGGAGCTGAACTGAACTGAGCTGAAATAAATATTTTATGAGAGAAGGAAATTAGGAGCTGAATTGAACTGATTGGAGCTGAACTGACTAAAAATAAGTAAATATGAACAACCCTAAATATTTTTTTTTACTTTGTGTCAAGTTGTTGCAAATAATATGAAAAGGAGGTAGTATTTATACAACATTAATAAGATACAATAATTTAGCTAGTTTTGGAATTAAAATTTATAATTAGCTGTTGTGGTAAATACATTTGTCAAATTAGCCGTTTTGGTAAAATAAATCTCCATTCTTTCAAGCTAAGCTTGTAGTTATAAAGATTATTAAGGGTATGTTTTCTTCAGCTTATTTTCAGTTCAGTTCTTATCTTAATTTCCTTCTCTCATAAAATATTTAGTTCAGTTCCAATAAGTTCAGTTCAGTTCAGCTCAATTCAGTCAACTAAAACGGGCCCTAAATATAAATGACTCGAAATAAATATTAGAATTTATAAAATTTAAATTATATGCATAATATAGAAATAATATAATGTGGATTTTGCATAATGAGTAATTAATAAGCTATTTTGATAGATCTTTTGACTTTTCTATTGTATATGTACTCCGTACTTGAATAAAAGAGAGAACAAAACAACTCGACAACTAGTTATACTTGGAGATCTATGTATCTCAATCTAAGAATTTATTTATATAGATGTGATGTTGAATTATATATTTATTCCTTAGTAAATAGAAATAAATATCATGTACATTTAAAAGGGCACTGCCATGCTTTTCCTTATCTCCTGTCTATTTCCCTCCACACTACGTGTCCTCCCTAACACATTCAATTGATAAACTAATTTAATTACCCAAAAAAATATCTCTGTACTTACAAGGTAAGTATTTTTTACAGTGAAAATTATCTTCATTTTAATTAAAGAAATAAAGTTTTACAATAATTCTCGTACTCAATTAAATATAGCTTCTCCATTTTAATTAGGAGTTAGATTATCAGAAAAGTATTGTGTAAACGGATCAGGCTCACGTGAGTCCAATTATAATAAAAATAAAAATAAAAAAACAAAATAAAAAAAATTGTTAGAAATTAGATAATAATGGCCATATATTAGATATTAGATAATAAGTATTAAAATTTAGATAATAAGTGTTAGAAACTAGATAATATTGGTAAGATATTAGATAAGAAGTATCAGAAATTAGATAATAAGTGTTAGAAATTAGATAATATTGGTCAGATACTAGATAATAAGTATCATAAATTAAATAATATTGGTCAGGTATAAGATAATATTCGTCAAACATACATACTGTTGTTGGAGCTTTCTGAAATTTCGATACAAAGAAATCACGAATAGTCTTCTGATACCACCACGCTGGTTCCAACAACTCCAACATTCTCGTTGGTAATTCGTTATATTAAGAGCGTTGTTCGTCTCCTCCTCTTCATTGGCGGCGGCGGTGACAGCAGTCGTCGAGGTTTACGTTCAACAGTGTTCGCCATTGAAGAAGAAGAAGGAAGCTTCTACGATGAGGTAAGGACCCGAATGAGGAGGAGAGAGAAAATGTGAAAAAAATGGTGATGAATGAAGGATTGTAAAAATGAAGGAGAGAGAAAATGGAGGTGGTGTTTGAAGGTTATAAACTAGACTCACGTGAGTCCGTTCTCCACAAAACCTTCGATTATCCCCTCTATTAGTGAATGTGGTTGTCTTTAATACTTCGTATAGTTTTACTATAATCTTTATTGTTTAACTTTGTAAAATATAAATGCCTAACATTTCGAACTTAAATTTTATGTGATTTTTAAAAATAATATTATAGGCGGCAATCTTAATGTATAAGAATCAAGTGTATCTATCCTTATAAGACAAAGGAAATCATATAATTAAGGTTTATTATAGCGAAACTAATATACCATACAATTCATATTGATCTTTATATTTCTATATTGAGAATCTTGTATAAGGTATGGTCACCACTCTACCGTGTCAATTTAAATTAGCCATTTCAAGAAAACTATGCAAATTAGACGAAATATTTTGTATTGGATTTACTCGTACTAATATTTTAATTTAAAAGGGGAAACATACAAAACTAAAATAAAAAGAGCAACAAGAAAATAATAAAGTGTATGTATAGCTTAAAATTCAGGCAATAAATAGTATTATATTAATCAAATTAATTAAGCAACTAATAAAAAGAGGAGACAGCATCTTTTTAGCATATCATGGAGATGCAAATGATGGAACATTATCACAAATGACCTATTCCTCACCCCCACCATATCCAATAAAAAATGTGCTAAATATCAAATGCCAGGTCATCCCATTTCATCAAAATTAAGCATTATTATTAATTTTATTATTTTAATTATTTATCATAATAATAATAATTCATCAAAAGTCTTTTGTCTTATTGGCGTGTCCTAATCTAGAAAGACATGTCCTACATCATTTTGGACAAAAAGAGGGTCTTGCCTCATTTGACAAATTTTTCACCCATGATACAATCTGTCAGTCTTATGATCCATCAAGTACAAGTACATATCAACCATATTCATACTCAACTTTTTTTTTTTTTTGAGGCAAATCCTCAACTATCTTTCACTTCCTAATAACATTAATATTTAAATTACTCATATTTTAATTTTGATGATGAGATGATTTATGTGCGAAAGATGATAGACATGCTCAATTTAAAGACGAAATCTTGTATGAGGTAGTATATTTTGTTGTAGGAGTGGATTATGCAATGTTTGCTTTTCGAAAGCATCATCTTGCCTTCTTATATGGACCGTAAGACTAGTTTTGCAGAAGCTTGTACGGTCCTATTTCCTCTATAACCTACAATTTGTTAAGTAATAAACTGCGATATCTAGAAAACTGGAATTTGTCTATTATGTCGTGTTCATATGCACATGTTAAGCTGTTGAAGCAAATAAGTGAAAACTTGTAAATATAGGAGTAGCTATGATAATGGTAAATCCTAAAACAACGATTTATCAAAATAATTGTAATGATAATGAAATCCAAAGTGTTATTGTGTGTCCATTGACACATGTTAGAAAATCCCTTGTTCTTATTATCATTTCAATCTTGTTTATATTTTTTATACAGAAATAATATCAAATATTGTCTCCACTAAAACAATAATCAACTCAGCTTGTAAGATAAAATACAACAAACTTCGAAGTCATAAAAAGTCTATTGAATAAAGAAAGACAATAAAACACTGCAATTAGTTCGCCAAGATCTATCTTTATTGCTTTTCATGCTTTATTTTATAAACAAATACGCTCAATTCAAAACGTCTTAGTTCGTTTTAAATTTTAAAGATGTTAAATTGAGGTTGATTCGGCAGTGTAGTACAACTTATCTATCAATCTTCATGGTCAAGGGATTGTACTCATTAATTAGGGAAGATAAAGGTAGTACAAGAGCGTTAGAACCTTGAGTGATTGCAACCCAAACGATTAAATAAAAAGAACATGTCCAAAGTGGGAGATATTTTTTTCCACACCTAGATAATTACTAGTACACAACAAAAAAATATGACCAAATAAAAACCCATCTAATTAAAATTCAGTACATATTAAACACACTTTATAAAATACAAGATACACAAAATTAATAAAAACAAGATCTAATTAAGATCATAATTCTACCAAGAAGGTCTTGTTCTCTTAGACCCTAATGATGAATTATTATTAGTAATAATTTGAGGAACAGTAAAAGCATCATCCTTCAAATATTTTATGTTCAATTTCATAGTTGCTGTGACACTTGTCTGTTGGGACTGTTGCTGTTTCTTTGTCCCATAAATTGATGCATTTGTAATTTGATGAAGTTCTGAAGTAGTCTGACCAAACATGTTACTAGTAATTGCTGCTTGTGGTACCCAGAAATTCTCAGAATTTGTTGATGAACTTGTCAATTCCTTTTCATTCTCCACATCAAAAAATGACAACACATCTTCATTTACCTCAATACCAAGCTGGTTGTTGCAAGTATTCTGCACTCACAAATGTAAAAATTACACCTATATTCTCAACATCTAATCATAATTACTGATGCACAATTTGTCAAATTAGTGTCCCAAGTCATGTATTAATCTAAATCAATCTTGCAAATTTTTTTTGTGTGTGTTAAAAACGTGTATATATACAACATGCTTACGCACTCTAAATCACATAACATAAATATTTACCGTGTAAAAGTGCGACTTTTATGTGACTTGAGTTGATTAGTTAAACATTACTTGTAGTATTCAATGCAACTATTTCTTATAGGTAATCCAACTAAACAGAACTGATTCAATTTGCATAAATTGTGCCAATTTTGGTTAAGAAAAATATAAAAAAATCACAAAATTAAATAAGATATTTGAGATTTTTTAGCAAACCTTGGAAAAACCAAAGGGAGCAGCAGAATCAACAAGCAAATCTTCAAAATGCCACCCTGGTAGCATATCTATCAGATACTCTGATATATTACTAGTCGATCCACCACAGTTCAACTGATTATTGTTTGAACTATCTGGGCTGCTGTTGCTGTTGCTGTTCGTTACGAGGGATGCAGACGAATTCAGAGTTTTTTCAGAAGAAACTGATGTGGGTTTTTTAGCAGACTTAAAATCAGGAACTATATAGCCTCCAATTCCTTTGCTAGCAGTTACAGTATCAGTACTTTTGGTGTTGTCAGAAATTACTGCAGACAGCTTAATCCCTGTTAACAGAAACCTGTTATGCTTTTCTGTATGTTCATTTGCTGTATGTAGTGGCAGTTCACATTCTCTGCATAAAATTGCACGATCTTGTTGACAAAATATAAGTGCCCTTTTCTCCTGCATCCCAAATATATGTCAGTAATGTTATACTTTATATAGTTGTAAAAAAAGATTTTCCGAGGTGGTACTGGTACTCAAGACTTGAGATCAAATTACCTGACAGATGTCGCAAAGTGGGAAACTAGAGGTCGAGGGGTGTAGAAGAGAGAAACGGTGGTGTTTCGAGGCGAGTTTATTGGCATGATGGACTTTATGATCACATACATCACAAAGAGCAGCTTCATCAGCTGAACAAAATACAGAAGCTTCTTTTTTGCTACAAACATCACATTGGATCTTCATATTTGTAAACCTTTATTATTTGTTAGGCTGATTTTTTTTTTCTTTCTATTTTTGGATTTTGATTTGATTTGGGTATACTTTGATGATTCCAGATTTGATGGAATAATTTTGTAGAGATAGAAAGTTGTGTAATTGAAGTGAGAAGAAAGGGAGGAAGTGGTGGGCTAACTTCAAAGGCTTTAAATATTGTAAGGAAAACTGTTAGAGTAGTTTGAGTTGGCATATGCTAACTGATTGATTTTCAATTTAATATATTATGGTAGTATATAGTATTACTATAGTTGATATGAAATAAAATATACTCAAAATTTGACCAATTATAGAAAGAGTTAGATGATGATGGAGGAAAGAATGGGCTAGGTGAGGGGATCTGCCGACTGACTATATTGCATAGAGAATTGTGTGGAAAAGGGTAGATTTGTAATTTTACTATATGGTTGGGATGAATCACATTGATTGTGGGTCTACAACAATTGTATAATGGAAATTACTACGTATATTTTTATACTCGACACACCCTGAATGTGAATGCTTTAGCTCAAAACTTAACTTGACCTGATTTAAACTTGTCGGTTTTTTTAAAGTGGTTGGTCAATTGCTTGTCGTTTGATCAACACTATTACTAGTCTACTTGTATTTGTTATATGTGTTTTCTCAAATTAAACATCTCGAATTGTAGATTTTAGGGAGTTTAATGACATATTAACATTTTCCCCACGTAACAAAGTCTCCAGTTCACCTAACTTTTCTAAAACTAAGAGTGTTATTTACATAGCATTAATTTAAATCCATTTTTACAGATAAAAAACGATGTCATTGATTATAACTGGTTAAAACAGAAGGAAAAATAAATAAATAAATAAACCAAAAGATTAAATGTATGTCCAACATTGATTTATAGTTTAGTTCATGTTCACAGATACAGTGCAGAATTCCCTTAACAGGTAGGGAATTAATTCCACTTAACCAATTTACAGCAAAATGGATTGGTGATTTTAACTCGACAAACAGCTGAGGATCTAGGAAGATCCAATAACCCCTGATAAAAACTAGTAACATCAGAATCAGTAGCACAACGATGAAAGTTGATTTTCATCTCCTTCAAAGCTGATGCAGCCTTCAAAAAGTATTCTGCTGTGTCGAGTTCTTTTACTAGACCAATGAAGCCACAGATTTCTACTGTTTCAAGGCATGGCAGATGCTTGGGCGCGAATTCTGGATCAAATCGGTCACCGCAGTCAAACTGATGAATATAACCCACAGTTTTACATGTAATAAAGTACAAGTCTTGGCACAACAAATAAATAAAAAGAAAATTTAACAAGAATAATTCAAGCTTTGCCCCTTTCTCCCAAAATAATCCAACCTTTCGATTAATCCTAAATAAACCCGTTGACAACCCACTTTCTCCCGACAACCCTGGCAGGTCACCCTACCCATTATAACCGGCTACCATCCACATGTCACATCCTTATTGGATAATTGTTTAAAATCTTTTAATTCTAATAATTAAAATAAATAAATAAATTCCTTTCTTCTTCTTCTCCATCATCCCCTTTCTGATCCTATTTCTCTTCTCCCCTTTCATGGCCACCATTAACCCCATACACCACCACCACTTCTATGGCCATCATTAACACCATCCACCACACCCATCATAACCCACCCCCACCGGCAACCATGACCCACCCCACAACCAACATAACCCACCCCAGCGGCGACCACAACCCACCCCCAATTCTCATCTGGGTTGTTAATAGTTCCATTGAGGTGGTTGGACGTGGTGGTAAGCGGAGAGTGATGAGGGAGAACAAGGGGAGCAAGCAGAGTGTGTGGGTCACAACGGTGTGGTAGCGGGCTGATTAGGAGAAGGGGGGGGGGGGCATGGAGCGGGCTGATTGTCAAGGAGGGGAGAGGGTATTGGGGCAGGCTGGTTGACGGGGAAATGGGGTAGGTTGACAGGAAGGTGAGGTGCTGGCGAGAAAGTTCAGGGAGGTGAGGGTGTAAGACTCCAAGAGCCATAGTTAATGGTTAAAAAGTAGTTGAAGAGAGGAGAAGGAAGGAGGAGAGAGAAGGGAAGCCATTGTTAATGGTTAGAGCTAACACCAATGTCGACTGTCAAGAAAGGAGGAAATTACCTGAAGTTTAAGTAACCAGTTAAATAGGCTTGCTATGAGAAAATAAGTAGTAAACTTGGGATTATTCAAGGGTTAATCAAAAGGTTGGATTATTCTGGGAAAACGGGGCAAATGTTAGACTTTTCTTGTTAAATTTTCCTAAAAAGTAAAGTAATAAGCTGCGAAAATTACATAAAAATGTGCTTACATATTTAAGAAGCAACGATTTTAACTTAGGAGCGCAATATAACATCTTAGACAACTCCTCGTCAGCTACATACTCTAACCAGGTCAAATTTGGAAAGACTGGTAGCTCCGTTACTAATAGGAAGACCTGTAAAATCAATAAACAATCCATGAGAGCCTTAGAAATTTACCAACACCAAACAAAAACAAATTGAATGAAAATACAGATTAATAAATAATAAAGACGAGGATCAAGGTTAAGCTTACTTCAAATCTTAATTGCAAAGTTTCTACCCCGGAAACTTTTGTTAAAACCTTTTCTACTTCATCACCATTAAGTTGGTCTAAACAAAGATCTGCTTTAATGAGTGAACTCATATTTCCAATGTCAATTGATGATACCCAAAACTCGTGAATACACAGGTATGCAAGGTTTGATGTTTCTATAACGATACAAGCCTGCTCCAACCCATGAATGGTACGAGTATTCTTAATTAATAATGAGTTTAGGGTCAAGGAGTCCACACAGAGCATTGCTTTGACAACACAATTGACAATGTGCAGCTCTCTAAGAACGGGACAATTGGATGACAGCTTTTTCATAAATTCATCATCAGGAAACTTAAGGTTCCTGAGATGGATGGTTTCCAGATTCGGTAAATGGAAAGATACCGAGGCACCGATATTTAAAGACCCATGCAGATTTAAAACCACGAGTGTCTCACTGAAAAGAAACCTTGGTGGTAGGCAGATATCCATATATTGGTTAAGGATGATATTTAACTCATGTATTTTACGCCTTGCTGCGGCGATCAGCCATGAATTGACATAAAAGGCATCAGCATTAGAAAGATTCAAGCAAAATCGTTGGATATATGATGCTTCATTATGAAGTAGAACATTATCCATGAAACTCTTGAAACAAATCTTTTGCTCCAAAGAGTGTTGTTGATCCCCCGAAGTCTTCTTTTCTTCAGTGAAGTCAAGTACGGGAACTTTGGTCCATACATACTTCCATCTATATGACAATATGCTGGTCTTAACAGCAGACTTCGTAGTGAGAAAAGATAATATATGGCATAGAATCGTGTCTGGTAGGTTACTGATGTGGTCTACGTCTTTAAGACGCCTTCGGTTCCATGGGATTGACATTGAAACCTTACAGAACAACAATAACCAAGTATAAATAAACAAGGATTCAAAATACAACCTCCAAAGAAACAGCATTATAGTTGAAAGTGCATTAAAGCAATAAAATCCACAGTGACACTAACTGATGAACAAATAGACTTGGATTTACCCAAAGACTTGAATGTTGCATTAAAAAAAGTACATGCTCCTTCCAACTTGATTTTGCATCATTCAGAGATTTTAAGTTCATTTAAATTAAGCTCCACAACAGTTTCAGCACAGTTCAATTCAGTACAGTATAGCTGAGTAAGAATAAATTCAGGATTTTTTGACAATAAAATGCAAAAGACAGATTGAACTTTCTAATACACTCGTAATTCAAATGCCAATCCAAAGCAAACCCTCAGCTTCTATAAATGTCATTATTGACAGACTCAATTTTCCAACAAATTCCCACTTCTCAACATATTCAACATATAATGTTGAGCAATAAATATATAATGCAAACTGCATCAAAGCTTGATGTTGTTTGAACATTAAGGGAAAAAATGAAAAAAATAATAAAACATCAACGATTCAACGTGTTATTATAAATAAATTTAACTTAAAAGCTCTTCAAGCTGCCAATCAACTAGTTCAAAGTTCTTTGAAAGATCACTTTTAAGAGCCTAATTGGTTTGAACTAAAGAAGGATACACAATGAACCCTGTAAAAGTAGAGCATTGAGGTCAAATTCAACCCATTCCATGATTCCTTTTTTTCATAAAACCTAGTCGGTTACAATTGCTATTATGGTTTTAAAAATCCTTTTAACTTCAGCCTCCCCATCATATACCGCTATTTTAAGCCTGAGAATCTTGCTCAACCAAGTTCGCCTAGAATTGCATACTACCCTTAAGACTTATTCTCTCCCATCCTCTATTCAAGGGTAATGAGTGAACCAATTTGTTCACACCAGAACCAAGTCTAGCCATATAAAATTTCCATCCAACAAAACAAAATCTAAGTTAAACACGTAACTAGTAACTATGGAGCGGGTTTCCCCTTCGTGTTTGCATCCAAACAAACCCGCAAACCAAATACTTCCTAAGAGTTTATTAATCAACCTTTCATTCACCTCACACCATTTCCTATCTCCACAAATTAGTTTGTAGGACTTTTTCCTTCAGCAATAAAATCAGCTAGTAATTATAAGATTTCAACAACAGCAACAACAAAAGATTAAACATAAAAAAAGTTTATTTTGTCAATTGTCTAATACCTTTAAATCAATCTTGCAATTGGTAATAATTCGCTTTATGAAAACTTATTCATACTATGCGAAACCACTATTAAATTCCAGTCAAAATGTAACAAATTAATCATTTGAAAGCATCCAAATTAATGAGAAAATAGATGATTAACATGAAAAAATTAAAACCAACACACTATAATTTAGCTAAATGTGATATTTCCAACAAAAATCAACATGAATCGTAATAAGATAAATGTAATTATGCTTACATATAAAAATCCAAAAACTAGGGTTTAGCAAAGTAGCAAACATACCGGAAACAGAGGGTTTTGACTGGGGTTTTCGTTATCCTCAGCTTGTTACTCCAATGAATTTTGAAGTGCAAGAATTTTGATATAGATAAACTAGGGCTAATTAGAATTCGTTTGAGATTTAATTTGCAGAATTTCAGAAATTTCTTCAGAATGAAAACCTAATTAAACGATCGGGTTAATGTCAGGGACATTCTGTGAGAACTGAGAAGTGGCACTAGAGGTGGGAACGGGTGCAGAACAAATGTATCGTTGTCTGGACTAGAGGAGTCAATTCGGAGGATCGGATTGGGTCTGATGAGGTTGGGTCGGTTAATTTTTACTGTTAAGTCGTGCTAAATTATTGTGTCCAAACAAGATCAAATCTGGATCGGATATTTTCAAATTAACTACTCGTACAAGAATAAGAAAATAACCCCCTCCCCCCCCCCCAAAAAAAATCCCCTTTGTTGGTTCAAAAATATAACGAATTCATCTTTGGGTCGGTTTTGGATCGATTCGGGTTGGATGTGGTTTTGACACCTTTAGTCCGAACTCGAGCATGTTTTAGCTTGAAACTTAGCTTGAATTGATCCGAACTTCTCGGTTATTTTAGGAGTGCTACTTGCTAGCCCTGTTAGGTCAATTGATAGTTATTTGATTAACTTGTATTATTGTACTTCATGTCTTCGTATGTTTAATTTACATGTAGATAACTTAAATTAGAAATTAGAGAGATTATTCGTAGTTTATTATTGCTACAATGCATACTACGTAAAATTAATAATGTGTTTTAGAGTACTCTGGTCAAACTCAACTTGACCCATAATGGAATAATTATTTCACTATCATATCATTTCTAAATACGAAATACTATATCGTTATTGAAATAGAAAATGCCTCTCGATTTGCAAGAAGGGTGTATGATCAACATTCTCACACATATAATTAAAGACCCATGCAGATTTAAATCCACGAGTATCTCACTAAAAAGAAACCTTGGCGGTAGGCATATATCCATATATTGGCCAAGGATGATATTTAACTCATGTATTTACGCCTTGCTGCGGCGAACAACCATGAATTGACAAAAAGGGCATCGGCATTAGAAAGATTCAAGCAAAATCGTTGGATATACTTCGTATGATGCTTCATTATGAAGTAGAAACATTATTCATGAACCTTAAGGTTGGAAGATATTTCCCACTAGACCAAACTTAACTTGGTATTATACTCCGTAGTTAACAGTTTAACATGAGCATGTCTGAACTTGTCGCCGGTTGTTTAGGAGTGCTCAATAAGTTGGTAGTTGTTTGGTCAACCATAGAAATGGTCAACATGTAGCATTGTACTCGGTATGTAATTTTTTCTTACATGTAGACATCTCAATATTCAGTAGAAATTAGGGAGTTTATTCGTAGTCAGCTACAATACGTAGTACATAAAAATTACATGAGTTTAGAGTGCTCTGGAAAAACTCAACTTAACCTGTTGTTTGAAACTTTGAATAGTTATTTCACTATACTATCGTTTGTGAAATAAAAAATGTCTCTCAAGTTACAAGAAGGATGCATGATCAACATTCTCAACGTATAATTCCGGTTGTCAAGTTTGTACATTAGCATAAATGAGCAAAATGTATAGCTAGTGAATTGATTTTACAGTTATTAGTCCTTCACTCCTTATTACTCCATTTTACTTGACAATTTTGCTAGTGCAAGAGGAAATATTAAGCAAAAGTTTTTTGCTCATTTTTCTCTTTACCAATAGCAAATTTAATATTCAGTCGGTCGTATAATAAAATTGTAATACCCAATTAGTAAACATGAGATTCAAGAGTATGGGATTCAAGATGATGATATCGTGATAGTAAACATCATTCATTGGGTATTTGGGTATTTATGTAATGATAGAGAATATGAGGTTCAAGTTGTAGTGAACACTGAACTTAGGATTCAAGCTGCACCGGAGACAATCTTACGCAAGTATCATTATAAACTCACTTAAGGAAGTCTTGGGTTAAAAAATAAACTATTCTTAGGGCCTGTTTTTTTACGTTGAAATTCAGTTCAGTTCAGTTCTAATTTAATTCAACTCAGTTCAGTTCAGCTCAGTTCAACTCAACTCAACTCAACTCAACTCCCATTTTCCTTCTCTTATAAAATATTCAATTCAGTTCAGTTCAATTCAGCTTGTCAATGAGAACATGCCCTTAATTCGAAGCATATCCTTTTTAAGCTTTCTTACATATAGCCCTTGGGTTTTCTCAAAAAACAAATTATATAGCCCTTAGAAATATGTTTATCATTCTCCAAAAATTAAAACAAAATGAGCTAAAAGATTCAATGTTTGCCGTGTAGAATGACCATTACAGGTCGGTTTTAGAAATTTTAACTTGACAAACAGCTGAAGATCTAGGAATATCTAATAACTCCTGACAAACAGACAAAACAGTAGTAACATCAGAAGTAATACAACAATCAAAGATGATTTTCATCTCCTTCAAAGCAGTTGCAGCCTTCAAAAAGTATGCTATCATGTTGAGTTCTTCTTCATTACCACAAAAGCTACAGATTTCAACACTTTCAAGGCATGGCAGACGCTCGGGTGCAAATTTGGGATCGAATGGAGAATTCTCATTAAACTGTTGAATAAAACCCACAGTATTAAAACTAATACTAACTATGGCACAAAACATTTAAAAAAAAATAAAAAAATAAATCAGAAGCTGTGAAAATCACATAAAATGTGCTTACATATAGGATAATCAACGATTTCAACTTTGGAGCGCAATGTAATGGCTTAGACAACTTCTTCTCAGCGTGACACTTTAACCAGATCAAATTGGGAAAGACTGGTAGCTCTCTTGATGTTAATAATGCCTGTAAACCAAAAACAATCCTTGCTAGCATTAGAAAGTTATCAACACCCAACTAGCAGCATAAAAATAACACTTGTAAATAAAAAGATGATAGAGGTTAAGCTTACTTCAGATTTTAAGTGCAAATATTTTACCCCAGAAACTTTTGATAAAAGCTCCTTCACTTGAAAATCATTGACAAAAAAATTGACTTCTGCTTCATTGAGTGATCTCATCTCTCCAATGTCAACTGATACCCAAAACTCATCAAGAACAAGGTATGTAAGGTTTGGTGTTTTAACAGCAAAAGATACCTTCTCTTGAGAAGTACGAGTTTTTCTTATTATTAATGATTTTAGGGATAAGGACTCCACACAGATTGTAGCTTTGACACAACAGTTGACAATGTGCAGCTCCCTAAGAACAAGGCAGCTGGATGACAACCTTTTCATGAATTCATCATCAGGAAACTTAAACTTACTGAGATGGATGATTTCCAGGTTGGGTAAATGGAAAGACGCCGAGGCACTGATACTTATTGGCCCTTGCAGTTTTAAAACTGTGAGTTTCTCACTTAAAAGAAACCTCGGAGGTAGACATAATACATTCAAAGTTTTAACATTAAGGGCGATATTTATCTCATGCATTTCACGCCTTGATGCGGCAATCAGCCATGAATTGACATAAAAGGCATCAACATCCATAACATCCAAGCAAAATCGTTGGACATAAGATGCATCATTATGAAGAAGAACCTTATCGATGCAATCCTTAAGACAAATCTTTTCCTCCAAAGAGAGCTGTCGATCCGTCGAAATATTAACTATCTCAGTGAAGTCAAGTGCAGGAACTTTGGTCCATACATGCTTCCATCTTTTAGACAATATGCTGGTCTTAACAGCAGACTTTGTAGTGAGAAAAGATAAAATATAGCATAGAACTGTATCTGGTAGGTTACTGATGTGGTCTACACCTTTTTTAATACGCCTTAGGTTCCCTAGACTTGACATTGAAACCTTATAGTACAACAGTATCCAACTAACCAAGTATATATAAACAAGGATTTGAAATAGACCCTCCAAAGTAACAGCACTTACAGCAGTATAGTTAAAACTGCATTAAAGCATTAAGTTTCCCGGGCTTGACATTGAAACCTTATAATACAACAATAACAGAGTATAAATGAACAAAAATTTAAAATACACTATCCTAATGATCATCAGTATAATTGAAACTGCATTAAAGCAAATAAATCAAAATGATATTAGTGATAAGCAGATACACTGAAATTTACTCAAAAATACAAATGGTGCATTGAAACAAGATACTAACGGTGTGCTATTTTCAATTCAGACAATTTAGATTCATTACAATAAAGCTATAAATAATTCAGCACATTTAAATTCAATTCAGTACAGTGTATCAAAATTTAATTCAATTAAATAGTGTAACAGCTAAATTGAATATATCCTATATCAAATTTTGGTAGAAGAAGCAAACCAATTCCAACTAAGAGTGATCATGAAGGTCATAAATTAGACCAAATATAGCTCAAACTAATGTGAGGGCAACAAAATTGAGAAACCAAAAACCTCAGACATTGATTGACACACAATATATTAAGGCCTTTTTTTTTTAATCAAAATTCAGTTTATCAGTTTCGATAACAATTAGATTTAGACATAATCTGTTCACTTCAACAATTTTTTTGGATTTTGGACAACCTAAATCAATTTAGGCCACCGAAGCAAAGCCACTATGACAAACAATGACTGTCTGTTCAAATCAACAATTTAGAGTTTGGTCTTTGGACACCCTAAATCAATTTAGACACAATCTTGTTTAAAACCAAATCTAAAAAGAGTTCATATCAAAGTAAGCTGGCATACAAAAGAGACCACATCTTACAAATGGTGCAAAGATTGCAATTACAAAACAAATATATAATATATAGACTACCCTATACTTTCCATCAGTTACGCCATCTTAAACCCGAATGTCCTGAACCACCAAGTTTGTTTGCCTTTCATGACTTCTTTTCTCTCCTCTCAATCCTAGAATGATGAGTGAACCAGGTCGAGTCTGGCCAAAGTAAATTCAATTCCAACCCCTCCTATGATGGATTTAATCAGTATTTCTTTTGAAGAAATGCAAGCCTTGATCTTGCAATTACAACATCACAGCAAGCAGACATTCAAAGAGCACCTGGACCATCTAAGGATCATGAGAATGTACAAGATAATAAGTTATATATAGGCGTTAATCTTCTTTTCTTTAATCATGTGTGGCTGTGTAAGTATATTTGTCTGTTAAATTTTACCCAAAAGTTAGTTCTTTTCTTTAATCATGTGTGGCTGTGTAAGTATATTTGTCTGTTAAATTTTACCCAAAAGTTAGAGCTATGTATGCACACAAGCTAGGTTTTCGTATGGCCAAACAGTAAACACTAAGGTGCGGCCTTTGAATGTCATAAGCATCAGAAATTCCCTGGCAACAAAGACCTATAAATCAACCTCTCTCCTTTTACTTATATACTATAGATTTTGGACAGCTTTCTCCCTCGTCGTTCAGTAACACTTGCAAAGGTCATCATGGCAGGCTGGTGTTAAATTTTGAGAGAATATGAAATGGGTCCGACAATCCGAACAAGGAGGAGGAGAGTTTGGTCCATACACGAGGCTTAAGAGCTTTCATACTAAAACCAATTGACAATAGTGACAATAGTAGGAGTAACTTCTCTACCTTATAAAGTGGAATCATCTCTCCTCTTTCTCCAATGTGGGACACTCACAAGTGGGCGACAATGGGTTTCAGCAGCTAGCAGCAATATAGCAATATGGCAGAAGGAGTTTGGGTCTATGGTGGTAAATTGGCAATAAGAAGTCATGGAGATCATGTATCTGTCACCCCGAACTAAGGGGATTGCAATGTAAAACTACCAAAGAACCAAACAAAGGGTCATCAATTGCAATTTTCCCATATACAACTTTTCGTCGAACAAAATGGATCCTAAGTGAGCCAAACTACTAATAAGTAACTAGGGTTTTCACCTTCCATGCAATAAAAACCGCGAATGCTTTTTAAGAGTTTATCAATCATTAATTTGCCTAGTAAACTATAATTCAACTAAATTTTTAATAGCTGAATACTATGAATTCTATGATTGAATAATAACTACAATTTTTACTAGAAGCACTAATTTGCCTAGGAAACTTCTATATTCATAATCAGCTATTAATTTCCAAAACCCTAATTTGTTGACAATTGTTTTATATTTCTCTAGAAACTTCTATATTTCAATTATTAATAATCTATAATCTATCTAATATTAGCTAATTTGAGATCTCTGAATATAAAATAAGCTCCAAATCACTCCTGCAATTGCTAAAATTTCGAATTTCGAAAACTAATTCATACCAATGTCAAATTCCAATTGACATAAGAAAGCATCCAAAGAACTAAGAATATAGTTCGTTTAAAATTGGTAATTAAAATCAACAAACTATAATTCAGCTTAATTTGATATTTCGAACAAAAAATCAACATAAAAAGTTACTTATGCATTTACGCTTACATATTATAAAGCTCAAACTAGAGTTTAGCAAACGTACCGAAAACAGAAGATTTTGACTGGGGTTTTCGTTATCTTCGTATTGTTAAAGCTTTAAATTTTAACGCTTGCATCAGGAATTGATGAATATAACTAGGGTAAACAGAATTCGTTGGAGACCTAATTTGCAAAATATCCGAAATTTCTAGATGAAAACAAGGAATCCCTTTATTTTTTTTTGTGTTTAGAGAGCCACCGGATTAGATCCCGTAATTTTAATATTTATCATTAGTTTAATACAATTACTAAATGAAGTCCGTGCTATGCACGGTTTGTTTGATTTTTATTTAATTTTTTTTTTTGTATTAATGTGCTAAAATTTGTTATATATTTAGATAAAATTCCTAATATCAAAAGATAATATATAATATTTAATTAGTTTAAACTTAAAAATTGTATTCGCCAATTTTGCTTACGTGACATTTGAATTATTTAATTATAAAAGAAATATAATAATCTCTTATTTGATTGGCTACAACAAAAATTTATAATACTATGTGGCGCTCTAAGAAAATTAGATCCTAAGTGGCTCTCTAAAAACTCGGGAAAAAACTCCCCTTTATATATATATATATTAGATTTTACTATAAAAAATAATATCAAATTGCAAAATAGGATGAAAAATTACGATTTTTTTAAATTATTAAAGAAAACTGAGGAAGAAATGCATGCACGACTAATAAAAATAACTATGGATTACATTACAAAGTTATAGATAAGATTACATTATTGTATTATATGACTTTGTTCCCGTCATAAAATAAATAAATAAACAAATAAATCTTTGTTGAATGTGTAAAAATGAATATACTTGCCAAATAGAAAAGAAATATTATTGTAAAGTAAGTATTAAATTAAATACTTCTCTAAGTAGCTTTGGAAAAAAAAAAAAACCCTTTTGGAGGGAAAATTTTTAACAAGGTTATGACAAGTGTCATTTTTGGTTTCGCCTTTAGTATAGGTATATATATATTGATTGATTGATTGATTGATTTGATTGATGATATATTGATTGATTATTGTAAAGTAAGTATTAAATTAAATACTTCTCTAAGAAGTTTTGGGGAAAAATAAATAAATAAATAAAAATAAAAACCCTTAGGAAAATTTTTTAACCAGGTTATGACAATTGTCATTTCTGGTTTCGCCTTTAGTATAGGTATATTGATAAGGGCGGGTGATGAGAATCGATTCCAGAATCCTGGGATCGGGAGGGAAGCTCTGACCACTTGAGCTATCCCTCACTCTCGGAGCCCCTTTATTTGATAATAAACAAAAATCGTTTATGTATTGACATTTTTGTAAATAAGTCAACAAAACATCTATACAGTATGACATTATTGTAAATAAGTCAACAAAACATTCTATGTATGATATTTTTGTAAATAAATCAATATTTGTGTGACCCACATTCAATAAAAGTTATTGATTTATTTACAGAAATGTCACTAGATAAACACATTTTTTTTTATCATCAAGATAAACTTGTATTTTCTCGGTGTAAATCCCGGTACTTTAAAACACGTGTACTTACAATATTGTCATTAGGTAACAATTGTTATATTATTTTTACTTTTTTGTGTTTAGAGAGTCACAAGGGCGGGGATGAGAATCGATCTCAGCATCTCCTAGAACTGGGAATGATGCTCTAACCGCTTGAATTATCCCCCACTCTCACAATTATTATATTATGACGAATGCCAAGTTCTATATTCTCATATGAAAACTTATTTAATTCATATTTGATCTTACACACATGTTTGAACTTTCTGTGGAGATCAGTGGTGTGGAATATAGGCATGGGCACGGGTCGAGCGGATTCGAGTAGCATGTGTCGTATTTCTGACTCAAGTGGGTCTTGTGTAAAACGGGCCATGAAATACTAGTGCAGTATCGAGCTTGTGTCAATCTCATAAATGATGCACATGCACAACTCAACTAGCATGCCAATTCGTGGCGTGTCAATGGACGGATGGGCCCTTATATTTGATAACTTTGTACTAAGTATTATTAAAAAGAATAATCCCACACTTTGACACTTGTTGAAAACAATCTCACCATTGAGAAATATGGCATATAGATAGAAAATTTATGTTAAAATGCAATAAACAGTCTGAATATCACCCGAAGAACAAAACTAGTCTAGTGATATGCCGCCTAAACTTACAAGTATATTTTTTTTTACTCCTAAATTATGATTAAACGCACTCACCCAATTATATAATACTTAGTACTATATGACATTTATTTTTAAAAGATGAATGCACAAGTACTAATATTCCACAATTAAAAAAAAAATAAAATAAAAAATAAAAAAAATCCTCTCATCATACAATTATATGCATACCACATATTCGAATCACCACACGTTGATGACCTTGAAACATTCCTATAATTTTTTTCTAAATATAAACTATTCATCATATTAATATACCAAATTTAGACACCCTACCCTAAATCTTGAACCCTATAAAATGCGAAGAAATCATTCATCAAAATAATCAACCTTCATTTGGTCATCAAACAGATAATACATTATTATTTATACAAATATTTATATATAGGCAACACAAATTTTTGAGTAATATCAATTAGCATTCAACTACGTATACAATGGCGTTAAACAAGATTGTCGCATTTCTCTTGATCGCCGTGGTTGTCATGACAACGACGACGACGACATTGGCTGCTGATCAAGGACGACCAGGATGCGTGAAGCCATGCTACAAAGAATGTTTGGTTTTGAAGAAATCTCAACCAAAAGATTGCAAAGTAGCATGCACTAGTATATGCAAAATACAGACCAAATTCAATAATAATGGTGTAAAGGCTAATTCTGTACAATCCAATTCAATACAAACCAGTTCGATTTTTGGTAATGTAGATGAGCTTCTTAGCGTCTACTTTAGCGCCTACAATGGCATGTAACATTTTTTTTTTTGACCTATATACACAATTTGTATACCAAACTGATGACCAAATGAAATGATGATTATTGATCCTTTGAATACATGACACATTCATTTAATTTTTATGTCAATTTAATTTGTTGCACGTGTTGGATTTCGTCACATCATCGATCTGTATATATTGTGGTTTTATGGACATATGATCAATATGATATATATGGTACGTATGGGTGTAGTTGTGCAAATCGATTAATGAAATGATGAGGTACTCCATAGATTATTCTTAAAAATGTTAAAATTGGGGGAAACCCTAACATCTAACTATCTTTTTTTATTATATTCAAGGTCATTTAATTATTTAATTTACTCTTATAATAACTTTGACCATTTAAATAGTTTATCAATATTATTTCATAATAATAATTCTTATAGTTGCACAGTTGACAATTCTAATTGAGGCACATAAGGTTTTTTTTTTTTCTATTCTTATTATACATTAATTGATATAATTATATATCTTGTTTTGATATTGGCACATAGGAAGTTTAAATTAGCTCATCATACTCTTGAATTAATTAAAACGTTATCCACCCCTAAGCTTAAGAAAGCCGAAAAGGAGATAATTGAAGAAAATTGTCTTTTTACGTAAAAATAAAGTTGTAGTAAAATGTAATTAAATAATATAGTCTTGCTTCATCAAGTCTATTAAACTATGATTTAAAGGTTCTTTACGATCAACCATTATTGCTTCATTAAGACTTTTGTTGAAAAAAAAAAAAGTTCGTGTTATCTATGGAGTATCACCGATTTTTATCTTTCAACAAAAATCTAACATAAACTAGCTAATCTAACTTATTATTTATAGACACTTTTCATAAATACTATTGCAGTAATTGTACGTAAGTAAAATAAATTGGATATTAATTGAAAAATACTAGCTAATCTGTTTTTTGGTTTTTTGTTCTCTAAAATTATATGATATGAGTCCCATAATGAATCAAAATTATATTAACTTATTAAAATTATGATAATTATGAAAACTGACAACAGAAAAGTGGAAGTTCCTTTTTCTTGTTTCCTGTTTTTGGTTTTCAAAAAAAAGAAAACCAAAAACCAAAACTGATGCCAAACAAGCCCTTAGTTTTTGGATATTCATTGAAGTATAATTAATTAAAATTAAGATGAATAGGTAGAGAGAAAATATTATAATTTTAAATTATTTTATGACAAACTTGAAGTAGGACTAGTCTTTCCATACAAGTATAAATAATAATTCTAATAACTAACTCATCACCACTCAAATCTCAAAATTTATAGTGGTTAGTTGTATGGTACGAGTGTCTTTCCGAGACAAACTGAGTCAATTTGTGATTAACTTTTTAGTTTTTTTCAACATGTACTTCTCTCACTCTCCTTCAGTTATTTTCTTTTTCTCGTCCACCCCTCCTTTTTTCCCTAATGCTTAATACCACACAAGTTCCTCCAACTTTCTTCGTACTCGAATTTCTAGCTACTTTAAAATCACCTTTGATAGCCTCAAAACTTGCCTTTAATTCCTCCAGGTAAAACTCATCATATACCAAAATTAGGCACCTTAAGGTCTGAAAACCTACAATAAATAGAGACGGAAAAACATAGCTTTTTTTTAAAAAAAAATAAAGAACATAGAATTTCGTCTTCACTTTTCACTATAAAAATAAAGTACATACTCCATAAATAAAACCTAGCTATTATATACATCGATCTACAATGGCATCAAACAAGATCGTTGCATTTCTTTTGATCACCATGATTGTTATGACAACAACAACTACTACATACGCTACATTTGATGAGTTAATAAAAGAATGCAAGACAAATTGTCACAAAGAGTGTATGGATCATTTGGGGCAATTCAAGTCATCAAAGTCATGTGCCCAAAGTTGCTCTTTAATGTGCGGTGGTATGTTTGGAGGAGATCATCACTAAATTATTATCTTCATAATTTAACATTTGATAAGTTGTTACTACTCAAAACATTAGAAATGTTTAGTCCAAAAAATGTTTTAAATAGTGCCTCTTTATTGTAGAGGAAAACAATAATCTACGTAGTATATATGTTTCATGAATAGTGTGTTGCTGCTCATGAATTTGATGAGTTTAGATCCACAAATATTGATCGAATCAACAAAGTGTTGAGATTTTGTATTTAGTTGATTAAGGAAGATGATAAAACTGTTTATCAATAAGATCAATAGATTTGGTGGCATCAAATAAAGGGAATGAATGATGTAACTTTTTATATACTACGTACAATAATATATAGTTGAATGCAATACAATAAAAAGTAGATTTGGCCTACAAAATATTCATCGCATGACTTTTTTTCCGTTGTCCATGAGTTGGGCGATGAAAAAAA